GGGGGGGGGGGGGGGTCGATGTCGCCTGACATGAGCCAAGTCGTCCATGCCTTACCTCGCCCCAGGGAGACGTTCCAGACCTTGCCGAAGCAAATCTTAGGAAACTAATTCAAATCAACCAGAGGTATGACCAAATATAAATGTTGTTTTGTTCTTAAAAGTCATCTTTACTTCGAGTATCGCTCACACCTTACCGACAACCCCTCTCACCGCCTCCACTCGACCTGACAAAAGAATCCCAACTTTCCGGGATAGAAAAACCCATAAACAAGCCATCCACTGACCAGTGGGCAGTTCTCACCAAACTTGCCTATCAAAAAGAGGTACGACTTCGTCCTACCTCAGGCTACCCACGAACATTATTTAAGTAATGAAATCATTCAAATATCATCATCACACCCTATATTTCCTACCTTCAATTTTTAAGAGCATCTCAGATTGAAATTCAGTAAATCTGGTCACTTCAGGCTGGAGTATATCATCATAAACTTCTATTTTACAATTACAATAATTAGTCTCATAATAACTTGCATTTCATACAAGAGACTGTATGATTACATTTCTGAGCAATATTTAAGGGATGAGTGTAAATTATATTTTTATTAAAACAAAGTAATTATTATTATTCTTTGAGTATGAAAATTAATGGTAAAATACCAATTAACTTTGTATTACCATAGATTTAAGTGTGTAAAGAATGAAGTTTTATCTGTATAAAAACTTTTAAGTCACTATACATTGGTATGAATAAATCTGAAACAAACATTTTTCCTAAAATTAATAAAAGCATTTTATACTTTTGTTTCAAACGTGATTATACTTAAGTAATATAATGAATGAATAAAGAGTAAATCAGCACTTTCTGTATGTGTTACACGGAACAGTTAAACAAAAGAACATAACATTCAAACAAATTAATTCATACAAAGTAACGTGAAAAAGAACATAAAACTGGAATTAAAATATTTTAATTCCAGATGTTTCTTCCTAATTCATAACGCAACGATCTCAATGTAAAAAATCTTGAAAGAATCTGCCATTTTTTAAGTTCAAATTTCTTTATAATACATACATATTTATTTACCAAAATACGCTAATATAATATAAAATATAATATACATTTATACATATCGCGTTGAAACAAATATGAAGTCAAATAATCAAGGATTAAAACCGATTTTAACACGTTTCCACTCACCATTTTTCAGACCCACTTCACGAGAAGAAATATCCCTATATAATTACTGGTTTTTTAAAATTTCATTTACAACTAGACATGAAGAAGGTCTTTTACCCATACCCACTATGGGTTCAACTAAACCCATCTTAGGCTGGTCAGATGGTGAGAGATTACTCAGGACAATCAATTCATGAAACTTTCTTGAAGTTACACGCCTTATTTCAATTCAAGATCTCCAGAGGCTGACCTTAAAGCCACTTCCACATGATCTGGGTGTTTTCCTGGATGGGCAAAACTCAGGCATAGAATTTCATTGGAATGAATAATTGCATTGTAAGGCACAAGACTTTTCACACATGTAGACATGTTGAAATATTCATCTGGGCAACAAATCTACCCAGATTGTCAAACTACAAGTTTATTAGCCTGGCAGGCATTTGTCTGTGACACAACCTAGGAAACATCAGAGTGAATGCATATCTTCACACAATATGAGTGATTAAACATCCAGGGGTCGTATTCTGGTCACCGAGATATTAATTCTTCTGTAAATTTTAATTTTTTTCAAAACTCACTCACTCTGGAAGATGGGCTTGTTTTAAGGTATGGCAATGCAACACTTGGGCAATCTGCCTATGGGGGATGCCTTCCGGGAGGTCTTTTTAATGGTAACTGGCCCTATTCAGATGTTACAGATGTGGAGAAAACTCGGAAACTCCTCGGCCAGCCTGTCCTGGGAAAATACAAACCCATGATCACAGTCCCAGTGTTCAGGGAACGTAACCGCTTGACCACTAGTGGACAGTGGAAGATTTGAGAGCCACCAGTAAAGTCATTCATCAAAGAGCTAAAGTGACCAGACATCCTGCATTAACTGGACAGTCCCAGTATTGAATAAAATATCTCAAATTATCCCATTTTTACTTATAAGTAATTATTATTCATCAATATAAATGTGAGAAGCGGCCCAAATCAAGAACAATTAAATAAATCAACAGAATTATAATATTAACTATAAAATAGTTTTAACAAAGAAACCCTCCATTTTCTTTTTGGTTTTTTTTTTCGAAATTTTCCAAGAATGTTCATCTTTCCGTCCCCGGAGTAACTTCCTTTCCCAACGGAACCCGCAACTGAATCACCCGGTCCTTATCCAAAAAATTCTGTAATTGGTGAAAAACGATCACGAGACCAGAGGGTATAAATGAGAGGCGAGAATCGACCGGGGGGGGGGTCGACGTTGCCTGACATGAGCCAAGTCGTCCATGCCTTACCTCGCCCCAGGGAGACGTTCCAGACCTTGCCGAAGCAAATCTTAGGAANATGAATTATAACAAAATACAAAACATTTTAAAAAATTATTAAACAAAATAAATTTTCTTTCATTTAAATAAAAAAAACTAAATTTAAAATGCCAGTCTACACATTTTTCACGACTCCAACTCCTCTGGCCAGAAATTCCTCCCAACTATGACTCCACAGCCCTGGTTGTAATAAAATACTAAAGTATTAATTATATAAACAAACTCATTCACAAAGAAACTTACCAATGTCAAATTTAATGAAATCCATTATCTTTCCAGTTGCAATATCCAACTGAATGGTATCATTCACCTTAATCAAAGGATCGGGATAACGAATTGTTCGGCCGTCGTGAGTAACCAAAAATGGAATACCTTTCGGGCCAACCTGAACTCGCTTCACTCTGCATAGTTTATACTAAAATAAAAACAATAACAATTAATTACAAAACTTATTACATTTTAAATTTTTTAATTAAATAGCATAATTTTCATTCATATAACTGTAAAATGGGTGAAATAATTTGTGCATACAATACACACAAATTTTGGAACCATCATATTAATATGGCACCATAGTTTTCTTGTCAGAAAATATAAGTAGATATATTCTGAAAAATTAATTTTAATGGTGCAAATACTACGAATCATGGTTTAAAAAATATGTATGATCTGTAGATCAATTTTATTAAATACCTTAGCTTCCTCAGCAGTAATTCTATGTAGGATAAAACGACCTTTCACATCATACAAAAGACGAAAATATTCTCCTGTCTTCTCAATGGTAATAACATCTGAAGTAAAAACATTTTAATATATTACTCATTTAATTCCCAAACTCTTTAAAATATCAAAAACTATTAAACTTTTTATATAAATTAATGTTCGTTTCTTGGGTAATGCTCAAATCACACACAATGAAACAAGCGACCGTGAAAGAAATTTTTATTTATTTTGGCTTTTTTTGATCACGGAAATCTTAATGAAATTATCCATGACTTCGAAAAAGCCAATATCAAACTCAAGAAAAATAAGCAAATTTGTATTCAGGTAAGCCAATTATGATAATTATTACAATGATTATGAACATGAATCAGCTATTTCTAAATATAGTCTATAAAAAAAAAAACTGAAACTGGGAAGCATCGAACACAGTTCTAAATGTATTTTAACCACTAGATATTGAGGTACTATCCAATTTCTAAATGACATTAATAAATAAAACTGTATATACTCAATTTGTTCTTATATTTGAATTTACTAGCACTGATGAAAATAATTTATTACATAGAATATAAATTATCAGACACATCATCAATTTGACATGGTCAAATTAACAATACAGATAAAAAGTTGGATATAAGAAGTTTCATTGAAGTTTAAATAAATAAAAATGAATATTTAGAAATATCTTTACTTAAGTTAATCTGTATTTTCAACAAATTGCATAAACATATAACAAAGCCTTTCTCTATAAATCAAGTTTTTACACACCCATAAAAAATTATTATTATTATTATTATTATTTGTAAATGAAATAGTCGTATTAAATTTTTTTATTTTTGCAGCATGATTTTAACCTCATTGCATCACTTTTCTACTTTAACTAATCAATTTATTATTTATCTTATCATTATACATTTGTTTTAAAGATTGTCATTGTTATATATATATATCTAGTAATGGGCAGATTTAACAATAAAGCCCTAAGGTAAGAGTGAAAACAAACTAGTGAATAGAAGTATAATAGATCAAGCACAATTTGTTGAAAAAATACTGAAAAGTTGTCATGCAGCAAATTATCATAATCATAATATAATGAAAGTTATAATCATGTTTTTCACAGTAATGAAGACAAAACAGATTAATGTAAAAAGAATTACAGATGGTTCATAGTCATTGCCTGCAAATTTACATATTTAACAAATACTTCATTTCAAGTAATTTAAATACTATATAATTTAAGCCATAATAATAATAATTAAACATTATTATAAACGATAATTTTTCTACACTTCTTTGTAATTTGAAATGCATCCACCTTTTCTCAGATATGAAAAATAAACCAGCAACAAGTTGCTCCACTTTCCCAGCATTTAAAATTTTGGTGGTGCCATATGTTAGCATATTTTATTAAAAAATTTATATTTTTAACTATTAATATAATGAAAGTTATAATCATGTTTTTCACAGTAATGAAGACAAAACAGATTAATGTAAAAAGAATTACAGATGGTTCATAGTCATTGCCTGCAAATTTACATATTTAACAAATACTTCATTTCAAGTAATTTAAATACTATATAATTTAAGCCATAATAATAATAATTAAACATTATTATAAACGATAATTTTTCTACACTTCTTTGTAATTTGAAATGCATCCACCTTTTCTCAGATATGAAAAATAAACCAGCAACAAGTTGCTCCACTTTCCCAGCATTTAAAATTTTGGTGGTGCCATATGTTAGCATATTTTATTAAAAAATTTATATTTTTAACTATTATAAAATGGCAAAAAGCTTAATTTTGATGGTAGGGATGAGTTTTATGAAAAAAATTGTAAATGCTAAGAAGTAAAATCATCATTAAGTCCAACCTTGCAGAGATATAAACAACCCCCATTATCTCCTCATCCCTTGACTTTTAATCACCATAATTTAATAGCATCGACCCCCTAATAAACAAACCTCCCTGCAAAATTTCAGAAATTCTCGACAAAAAGCACGAGTTGTTAATTAAGCTTCAAACAGAGTGAATGGAATTATGCCCCCAAACACACACTAACATCACACATGCAGAAATTACCCCCAAAATTTTTTGCATTTCTTGACATTTCAAGGTGTCCAAAGTCCAAAAATGTAAAATTTTTGCCAGATTGCCATATTTTCCCTCTGTTATAACAGCTGGGAAAGTAAAATAATAATCTCTTCCAGTTCCAATATAAATCAAAATATATGCCACATTTACTTAAACGTAAGATGCAATTTTTAATGGTTTAGTATCTCGAAAATACAGTGTATCTTAGACATAACGTAAGGTGTTGTAATTAGCAATCTCTAATGCCATGCATCTTATTTCTCTGTCACTAATTCTATGCCATCATTTTAATGATTCAGTAACATTGTAAGTACTTAAATGAAAATATCCAAAAAGTTGTGCAGTTCTCTTTCAAGAAATGATGCATTTCTGATGCTGTAAATCAGTGGTTCTCAACCAGGGGTACTAGTGAAAATCAAAGGGGTACATCTAACTTTCATTATAAAATGGCATATGTTAATCAATTTGCTGTAAATTATTAACACAAGAAACAAGAAACGACAAAAACTTGCTTTAAAATATCCCAGTGTGAACACAGATTTCCCTTTTAACAGTCTAAACAACTTGTTTATCCAATTTATTTGTCCGTCTGTTAGTGCCATTAGTGCTGAGTGAACCTGTAGTCTAGTAAAATTACAGTTTAACTGAGCATTAATTATTTCTCGATAAGATTGGGGCTTTTCGTGTTTTTACTGAACTGCAGGTATTAGGAATAACAAGGCCTGGATCATATCCCCACCATGCAATGCGTGTCACTGCATGCGCGCATTACTTGATATTTAGCAAATTTATACATTACATTTGTTACAAAAATTGAAAGATTCATGTATTGTTCTGCATGTTATAAATTTGCAGCCATTAGTTTCAAGGTCAGTACACAATTATAATCTCTATTTAACAACGTGGGAACCAAATTTTGAAAAATTGCTGAAGATTTATCGCAACAAATATCCCATTAAATTTTGTTAGAAATTATTGTAGAATAATTTAATTTTTTTAAGTATAATGATTTATTTTTAGGAAATGTAATTTATGCATGTATTGAAATGACTTCTGTGATTTTATATAATATACTTATCAAATAATAATAAATAAATGTATGTACCTGATTAAATTTATTATTATTTACGTAAAATAAGTAATTCACTTTTAGTTATAGTTAGTTAG